TCTCCTCTCTGCTCTCCTCTGCTCTTCTCTCTCTTTCTCTCTTTCTCTCTTTTGCTCTCTTCTCTCTCTCTCTCTCTCTCTTTCTCTTTCCTTTTCTCTTTCTCATTCTCTCTCTCTCCTCTCTTCTCGTCTCTCGCTCTCTTCGCTTCTCTCGCCCCACTCGCACGTCGCCACTCGCACTCGCACCTCCGCACTCTCCTCTCTCTCTCTCTCGTCTCTCCCTCTCACGCATCGGCCGCTCACTCTTCCTTCTCCCCTCTCTCTCTCTCTCTCTCCTCTCTCTCTCTCTCTCTCTCTCTTCTCTCCCTCTCTCTCTCTCCTTCTCTCTCTCGCTCGCCCTTCTCCTCTTCGCTCCGCCTCTCTCCTTCGCTCTCCCCTGAAAAGCATGGCAAGAAGGTTTATTATCCGCATTATATATTGTTATAGCTATTACATTACATAACCCGACTCCATTGATGCGTAATGCGCATCGCTTAGCGCTATGCCAGTCTCGGTAGTCACTTCGTATGAAATTCCAGAAATATTCGCCGAACCCGAGGAGAATGGATAGCTTAATAGATTATGCAATAACACGGATAGGATCTAGCGTCAGCGTCCTAACCCCCCGTACCGGAGAGACGATACTATTATGTAGTCTACGTCTAGTTCTAGCAGTCTGCATGCTGTGTATTCCCCGCCCGCCGCCGCTGCTGCATGATAAGCGTGTCTGTCTAACACTCAAACCCTACGCCGAACGCAACCGCCTTCAAACTATTGTATACAGTGATGTCGTCACACAACTCTTAAGCTGATGTTAAGGCATGTCTCACCAACAACTTCTAACATTTCTGTGCTATGATTCGTCTCACCACAACTCTAATCACTGTGCTATAGTATGTCTCACACAACTCTAACATGTGCTGCATGCTTATAGCCTCACACAACTCTAACATGTGCTAGTGTATGTCTCACACAAGCTAACATGTGCTAATGTGATGTCTCACACAACTCTAAATTGTACTGTGATTTCTCATCACAACTCTAACATTTGGCTAGTGATGTCTCACAGTAATCAACATGTCGTTAGTATTCCTCACATAACTCTAACATGTGTTAGTTTGATGTCTCAACATAACAACTCTCAACGGTTCTCGTGTGATGTTATGTTTGATGACTTAACGACGACGACCACGACGACGGACGATTAAAGGCAGGAGCCAGGACGACGAGACCAAAGGAGACAAAATAAATAAAGATGAATGAAGATGAAGATGAGATATAAAGAAGAAGAAGAAAAAGAAAGCAGAGAGATAAGAACACAAGGGAAAAGAAGAAAGACAAAGAGGAAAAAGAAAGAAGAAGAAGAAGAAAGAAGAAGAAGACAAAGTAAGAAGAAGAAGAAGAAGAAAAGAAAGAAGAAGAAAGAGAAGAAAAGAAGAAGAAAGAAGAGAAAAGAAGAAGAAGAAAAAGAAGACAAAGAAGGAAGAAGAGAAAGACAAAGAGGAAGAAGAAAAGAAGAAGTCAAAGAAAAGTAAGAAGAAGAAGATAGAAGAAGAAGAAGAAGAAGAAGAAGAAGAAGAAGAAGAAGAAGAAGAAGAAGAAGAAGAAGAAGAAGAAGGGGAGAAGAAAAGAAGAATGGAAGAAGAAGAAGAAGTAAGAAGAAGAAAACATTAATTAAAGATCGCGAGTTGGCAGATGCGGAGAGAGGAGGGAAGAGAGAGGTGGAGGAGGAGGCGGAGGAGGAGGAGGCGGAGGAGGAGGAAGAGGAGGAGGGGAGGATGATGAGGAGGAGGAAAGGAGGAGGAGGGGGAGGGGAGGAGGAAAGCTAGGGAAAATTGAGGATGATGATAAAGATGACTTTCCACAGTATAACACAGTAGTAACATTTATTTCACTTTCCTTATCTATAGAAGAGGAGAGAGTAGACAGAGAGAGAGAGTAGTAGACAGAGAGAGTAGTAGACAGAGAGAGTAGTAGTAGGTGTAAATGCGTCGCACCTGCGCCGAACTATCCTGCTAACCTGTTTAGATAAGAGCGTGGATGAGATTGTCGCAGCGGGCGGTGAGCACACTGATCCACTGCCCATTGTCCAGCAACTAAGAAATGCACTCACCTCCCTTACATGCCACCAGCTCTCCGTGTGTGTGTGTGGGGGGGGGGGGGTTAAAGGTGCCTAATCACGTAGGATTTTCGTCTTGTGGCAAGAGACAATTAGTAAAGGGTGAAACCCAGGTAGAGGAGACTACAGAACTAGCCATGAGAGGGCTAGATTTAGAGTTACGAGTAGTACATGTTCTGCACCAATTGAAAAGCGGTATTTTTCTCACATATAAGGTCTACGGTGCAAGCGTGGCTAGGCACCTTTAAGTGAAATACGCCGCCACCAATGTTAGTCCGTGCTCAACACACAGCCCTGATGTCACACAATGCATGTCATTGTCCAGTCCGCTGTTCACATTGTCCGGCAAAGCCCGTTCTAAACTGTGCACTCCGTGACCCCGCGCTGACCTTTAGTAGTCTAAATAGCGAGGAGTGCGTGGGTGATAGCGAAATATTTACCTTCTCAGAGCGCGGACAAGGAGTGGACAACAGGTAGCCGGAGCGTCGGGGGGGAGGCGGGGGCACAAATGAATAGATGAAAGGAGTGTGCAAACAACGGGCGGACATACCACATGAAATGTGAGAATGTGCAGGATAAACTTTACAGAGAGACGAACAAACGCCAGGAAACGTTCGTTTTCATTAGAACGTTTGAAGTAGGAATTGCTGAGATCCCATCTCTCCGTTCCTCCTCTCTGCTTCTTTCTCCGTCCCCCTTTTCTGCCCCTCTCTGTGCCTCTCTTTTATGTCATGTATATTGTATGGGAGGGGAGGTTTAAGAGGATGAATGAGTAGTGGGGGTGGGGGCACAAGATGGATGACATTTACGCAGTTACCTAATGACACTTGACGACTCACAATAGATACACTGCGCACTAGGGTACATGTAACTACAATATTGTCAGATTTGAATCTAGCACGATATACATGTAAAGTGCAAGGTTAGAGCCTATAACATACATGTAGGGTGTCAGGTTACATACTATAACATACA